AATTCATCGCACTAAAAGACAGGCCACCGCTGCGTACACTCGGTGTCTCTCAAATCGAACGCACTTCTGTTCCTCTAATGTCTTCCGTCTTTCCGAAACACGAATTATCTTAATCGGACGCAGCGGCGTCCCATCTCTGCTTGCTATGAAGCTCGTATGCATCAACAGACTCAGTGTGGAATACAATACAATACCTTTACAAAAGTGTTCTTGTTTACCAGATTTCTTTCTGCAACGGGGATAAGTTACAACGAAGCAGTGCAAAGTCTCTAACTGTTCACATTAGTGAACAGCAATCGGTTTATATAGTAGATCTAGACAGAGGCCGACCATAAAGATCCTGAAATTCCGTGGAATACATTGTGGTGGAAGAGTTTGACAATTAAAAAGTTTCGCACTTTTGAACCCATGTATATGCAAGTACCAGTTGATGACTTAAACTAATGCTTTGAAGTCTAACACTGATATACTACATAAGACTTCGTTATTTTCCATGAACTTCAGAAGTATGAGATCTTTCAGCTCGACGAGTGCGATGATCTTGACAACGAGATTGACGAGATTTTAGCTGACTTCGAAGCTAAAAACCAGAAACGGAACATCCTACATACAATATGCTTCTATTGAGATCTCTTATGTACAAATCAACATTTCTTTCCTTGTTAAGCATCATTTATGTGTGCATGTCTTCTCAAAATAATATGGTATGCAGAACAATGTTGTCATGATTGTTTTTCATGTTTACTTCGGTTGTATAACAAGCCTTTTGTGTGGAACTGCCTCAGTAGTACCGATAGGTGGTTCGCACAGCGAGTGATCATCCATATAAAGCTGCAGTCATTGTCATCAGCATTCTTTCAAATTCAAACACAGATTACCTGCAAGCGCCGCCGTTCGTGAGCTTTCATGAGAAACTTCTCCTTGTAGCAGTTGTTACAAAAATTGGACCGCATCATTCTAAAAGTCAAATCAAGACAAGGCAAACGCATATGCCAATTGTCTTTTCATTTAGACAGGGCACAAAAACCTTTCAAAACTGACTTGGACGAGATTTGTTGGGTAGTTTCGCGACTTTACGCTATGGTTAATTTTTCAGTGGGAAACCTATTCTGCAGAAAACTGTTTTTGATTCGGTTTAAAGTACAGCTTACAAGCAGAAGAATATTCCAAGACCACACATCCACCATGCACCGAGACAGCAGAGGACGCCTAGCCTATTGATGCGTTTTTCCACTGCCTGACAAATCCGACATTATCGAATCCTTCAATCAGGGAAGACTCACCACTTGATGACATTCCGAGCAAAGCGTGAACTGCTTTCTTTTTGGGTCTGCTTCATTTACGTCTGCATTGAGCTGCATCTCAGCGGGAGTCTTCACCTAACAACTCGTTCAAATGAACCACCCACAGATATGAAGATTGATCTGTCCTTTATATTAGCAGGATTAACGTGGTTACGATTGAATAAACAATTGATACAGTCTTCAAGCAATCATCTGTATGCAGTTCTCTTGGTGTAGATAAAAAACTTACACCCTTATAAAGATTAGCTGGCATGCCCCGTCATGCTTAAAGGCAGCGTCCATCCAAAATTTTTCTTTTCTATGTTTTTGCCATTCGGTGCCCTTCCATGGCCCTGATTACAGTCATGAAATTCAAATTGCCCAAAACCCGCGAAGAAAGCCGGTTTCTGGGGAGTCTGCTATGAGGGCGCAGACGGCTTTCAGTACATGAGTGGGCGGAGCTTGATAGGATCTGGGCG